TCTCTGTTGAGCGGTGGAAGGGGAGACTTGAAGAAACAAACCAGAAAAACAGCCTCAAATACCAATTTCGCACTTCACCTTTTCTTGCTTCCCCCTCAGCCTGTCCCTGGCACCTGCTGCCAGAGCACCCGCAGCATCGCCCCTTCTGTCCCAGCCCCTGGGCACCCCCTGGGCCTTTCTCCCCGCATCCATCCGCTCCCGCCGGGAAGGCTCCCACGGGATGCTCGCTGTTGTCCAGCGATTTCCACGGGAAAAGGGCTGTGACACCCCACCGGCAGCACCCCAAACCCACGCAGCGCTGCGGGTCGCGGTGTGCCCCGTTCTCCTGCCCCGCCTGTCGCACAGCCCGGGGGACCGCAGCCGCCCGAGGGTGGCGGAGAGTCCCCCGGGCTCCTCCTGCTGCCCCGCAGCGGCCCGAGGTCCCCTCGCCTCGCCCCCTGAGCCCCGGCCTCCTCTGCAAAGGCTCTTTCAGATCTTGGGATGGAGGACGGTGGATAGACACATGGGAAGTGTTGTTGTTATTATTTATAGCACCATCTCTCTGCTCCGATTAAGCGCCGTCTAAATATGAATTCACTGTATAGACAGCTAGTCTATAATTTGAATTAAAATCCTCCCAACGAGCCCGTCGCTGGAGAATTCTGAAATCACAAGCCTAACTTGACACAATGAGCCCATGGTGTCAATAAACCATGGGCGAGATGGAGAGATTGTCACTCCAGACCATAACAGTTCTGAAAGTGTCATTACCGGCTGTCCTGTCAATGAGCTCCAAATTAAGGACTATGAGGAACAGCGAGATAAAAGTCACTGTCTTGGCTCCATTATGGGCGATCTTGTCAGTGATCTGAGAATCACTGGAAAGGGCTTTTTTTTTTTTTCCCCTTTTTTTTTTTTTTTTTTTTTTTTTTTTTAATGTACTTTTCAAGCCATGCCTCGGGATGCCAGGGTTTGAGGTGCGCTGAGAGAAGCAACCTTGAAGCACCCCAGGCTGTGCCTCAGGCGTTCCCATTGAAACTGCCACAGCTTCTTTGGGAAACGGTGTGAATTCAATGGAAGAGCCGGAATAATTCCATCAAAACTGTGCTGGGGCCAAAGAGGACTTCATTTGATTTGGGCGACACGTGTGATCCCATGAACAGACACTTTTTTGACCATTATTTTCTTAAGTCAACACAAAGATGGTGAAGGGGAAAGAGGGAAATAAAATAGAAGCCTCAACTTCAGGAAAAGACAATACATTTGAGATAGCCCCTTCCAGGCATTAAGAGTTTCAGAGAATGTCCCCAGTCTCTCTCTTGCGAGCCTGAGAGAGTTAAGGGGACTTATTCAGGAATTGGAAACCTTCAATTCTGGATTTTTGTGCTTTTGTGGGTTTAAGCAAAGCAGTTAGCGTTCTTCAGGAGGGGTTTTGTGTTTAATATACATGAGTTCATTCAACTACAATGGGAAAAGAAAACTAATTTGTTCTTATAAAACTAGGAAGGAAAGATAACTTTAAATAGACTGCCAAAAAGGATCCCGCTCGAGGGGGTTGCCTTCCTGCTAAAGAGCCAACATCCAACTGTAATTTCACCCCGTTACGTTGTACAGTAATTCCTAAGTTTATCCTCGCCACTGATCTTGATTTTATGATTTATTTTAAAGAACACATAAGAAAAATTACCGGCTTCACTTATGCTTTCCTTTGGGAAAGCAATCCCGGGCGTGTGATCTTAGATGCAGAGCAAAAATCGCGGACAGTTTGAGGAAGATGTTGGCTATTTATGAAGAGTCATGGAAGCCTGTTTGGACAATCGGCTTCTCCTTTTATTGAGAAGCCTTTTGAAAGCGACTTCGAGAGGTGGTGTGAGCGATTCGGCTTTTCTGCTGCTTATTGTGTACGTTAAATTCCCTCCAGGATCCGAGGTTGTTTGTTTTTTTTTTTTTTTAATTTTTCTTCTTGCAGCTGAAAAGCGGAGCAGCTTATTTTTATTTTTTTTGTTTCTCCCCCTCTTTTTTTTTTTTTTTTTTTTTTTTTTAACCTCTCGGCTATTTATTTTTGCCGCACCCGTCACGCGTGCGGTGGTCGCCGGGATGGGAGGTGGCCGTGGGGCCACTCCGGGGGCACTGCGGGACCCCCGATGCGGGCGGCCCGGGGGGAGCCCCGCATCTCCGCATCCCCCACATCCCCGCATCCCCGCATCCCCCGCATCCCCGCATCTCCCGCATCCCCCCATCCCCGCATCCCCCGGGCCGTGCGCTGCCCGCCCGGCCGCACGTGTGCTCGCCCCGCGCTTCCATTCGGGAGAAGAGGGATGAAAGGAGAGGCCGGGAGCAGCGCGGGGCTCCCTCGGTATTCCCCGGCTTTCAAGGGTCCTTAGAGCCCTTGAATGAAATTATTGGGCGAAATGGGGTCTGGCGGGACCGGCCGCGGCTCGCCCCCTCCTTGGTTTGTACGTGTAATGCCACTTCTGAGAGCGACAATCGGGCTACTTGCTGGACAGGGAGGGACAAAAAGGAGATTAAACCGTTTTAAATAATAATAAAAAACATCCCGAACGCAAGCAGAGTGGATTACACTCGCCGCGGCGCCCCGGCTCCCCCCAGTTCCCCGAAGGTTCCTCCGGGCCTCGCAAACAGAGCGGCCCCAGCTCAGCCCGGCTGGGCCCCCCCAAACTCGCCGAGCTCCCGGAGCCCTTGGAGGGCCCGAGGGTCTCCCCGGCTCCGTGTCAGACCCTTCCTCGGCTGAGGACAGCCTGTCCTGGGCCCCTACCCATTCCGAATGTGCCCTTTATTCCAGGGCATTTCAGATTATATCTCCCCAAATTTTCCTTGGGATACACTGCAAACGCACCATGTGATGACTGAATTCCCCAGAGACTATACTTAGTTCATTAAAACTTCCCTAACTTGAGGGCTGGGTTGCTACAGCATAAGAGGGGCAAAAGGAAATTTATCTGTACATTTTCGTCTTTGCCTATTTTTTTTTTTTAACGTAATGAAATTAAAACTTTTGGAGCTCACAGTTGACATTTTGCAGAAAATTGAGTTATCAAGGCAGTAATTATTTCACGGGGAGATAAAACTCTCATAGCCCTAACTGTCAAATAGGGGCCTTTTCAGATTTTAATTACAAAATAAAATTAGTCTGCTCTTCCTCGGAAGGGTTTGTGAGTGGCTAAACAGAGCTTTCCCCAATACTGGTGGTCGTCAAACTCTGCTAATTAGCAATGCTGAGAAATTCCAGTTAACAAGGACATTCTCTAAGTCTCTGCAGGTTCCCTGCCGTTCGCCTTCATTTCCATAAGAAGATTAAGAGTGGAGGGGAACACACTCAAATGCAGATGCAGAAAAGAAGCGTTTTTAACAAGCATCATAATAGTAAGATGCTTGGCTAGTTCTCACCTAATTACTGCAAGTTAAACCTCTATTTGCAGCTAAGGACAAAAAATGGAGCTGCAATCTCCCATCTCCACAAGTCTGCTTAATAGTTTGCTTTAGATTGGTTACTGGTAGGTTCAGGGGAAAAAAAATAATATGAAAATGTGTATATTCTTTCCGATACAGTTAACACGATAGGTTGTATCCGTAGGGCTTTTAGAAAAATCGGCGAGCATTAGAACAATAAATACATAAAATCCAAGTAGTTAACAGTCATTTTCTTTTTAAGAGACTCATAACCTGGAAATAAGAGTGCGTGTGCCGCAGAGCCCATCACTGAGAACATTTGCAGACTATTTGTTTAATGTAAGCACTTTTCATTTCCATAAATTATACCAAAGGCAACGATTTTTTAAATCCACTCAGATTAAACCGTCCCTCTGCAGGCCTCCCTTCCCTGGCTGTATTCTTAGAGAGCAGTGGTGTTATTGTCATTAATATAGAAATCAGGGACCATTTCATCTTTTCTGTCCTTTTTTTTTTTTTTTTTTTTCCTTTTTTTTTTTTTTTTTTTTTATTTGTAGCCAGCTTCCCGGTCTGCCTCTGCTTCCGCCCACCCGTGTGTGTATTCCCAAACAAGCAACCCTCCATACCCAGAGGAAAGGCACAAAATGCCCCAAAAGAGCCATTGCCCTCACCTTATTTCCTGTATTGCACTATTATGTATATATGCCAGTTTATTGCATCGATAATTAAAAGTGTTAATTAAAATAGAGCCGTAAATACTCCCGATTGCACAATTGTTAGGCATTTCCCATCCTTTATTCGTATGATAAATGCAATTAGGAAAGGAGCAGGCCCGGAAAGGTTCTCAGTGACCAAGATGCGTGGTCCTGCGTGGAGCTCTGGGCCGTGCACCCCACGCACCTCCCGCAGCTACAGCCAGAGCAAAAATAACCCCTTGCCTGCACACCGCCAGCCCTCGCTTATCGGTTTAGCACAATGAGCAAGCACCTACACCGCCCACCTACCCCCTTTTAAAAAAAATTCAAAATAATTATCCCTAAAATTATTTTTTAATAACTTTATCAACTAGAGACCAAAGGGAGAACAATAAGACAGTTAACAGCCTGCATTCAGTTAACACTCCTGCATTCAGGAGTGCCTGAACAATCAGAATCCGGTTATACCCCACATCTCATAATTTGCACCTATTTTTCGACGGTTTAACCTATCACTTATCTAGGGGTTATATATACATTTTCGAATTAAACGCATTGGACCCGATAGGATCTATTTGCATAATCTACGTACATTTAAAAAAAAAATACAGATGCGTCCCTGATGGCCGGCGGGTTTGTATTATTATTATTATTCTCTGTTGATATTGTTGTTATTATTATTATTGTTGTTATTATTATTATTCCTCCGGGTGTCAATCCCGCTCCCTTCCCCCCGGCCCCGCGCGGCTCCGGCGGCGCCTCCCGCCCGGGGCGCGGCCGGGCCGGCAGGGGGCGCCGCAGCGCCGCGGCTGAGGCGGCCGGGGCGCCCCGCGCTGCCCCCGCCCCGGCCCGGCCCGGCCCCGGCCCCGGCCCCGGCCCCGGCCCCGGCCCCGGCCCCGGCCCCGCTCCGGCCCCGCTCCGGCCCCGCGGCTCCCCCGCACCCCCGCCGGCCCCGCCGTCAGCGCCACCGCACCGAAAGGCGGAGCAACCCCGCCGAGGCGAGGGGAGGCGCGGAGCGGCGCGGGGGAGCGCGGCCGGGGCGGCGAGCGGCTCCCCCCCGCTCCCTCTCCGCGTCCTCTCTCCCCTCCTTCCTTTGTCGTCAAGTGCGGTTTAGCAACAAAGATCCCAACAAGAGAGTGGAAGTAAACTTAGCCGCGGCTTTGTGCGGCCCGTGTAGTGACAACAAGGGAAACAAAACTGCGTGTTCGTAGCGCCCGGCCGTGCCCCCAGCCCCCGGGGTGACGGTGCCGCCGGGCGCGGCGGCGGGCGGAGCGCGGCCCGGAGCCCTCCCCAGCGTCTGCAGAGGGGTCCCGGCCCCGCTTTGTGTTCGGCGGGGACGGCAGGTGGGAAACCCGTGTTTGCACTGTAAACCCCCAGCTCCGAGGCCGGAGGCCGGGGGGAAGGGCTTGGCGCGGCCGTACGGAGCAGGGCCCGGGCGATGGCCGGGAGATGGGCTCCGCTCCCGGCGGCGCCAGCAGCAGCGCCCGGCCGGGGCTCCGCTTGGCGGGGAATGCACGGCCTGGACGGGGCGGGCGAGGCACACGCAGGGCCCCGCGCAGCCCCTCTGTCCCGAGGGGCACAGGCGTGCGGGAAGCCGTCCCCGTTCCGCTCACCCCATGGCTTTCCTAGCCCCGAGCCAACGCCAACTTAAAGGGGGAGGGAAAAAAAAAAAAAAAAAAAAAAAAGAAAGAAAAAAAACCACCACGTAGCAACAATGCTGTTTACCCACTTCCTCCAAAAGGCGTGTGTGACCTGTTGCTGGAAGGGGAGATACAAAGGCTCCCAGTGGCCGCCCGGGCCGCCCCCGGGCCCGCCTCCCCGCCGAGCCGTCCCGGCGCGCCCAGCCCCCGCCCCGTTTCATGCAAAACCAGGGGAAGAGACTTGTCCTCAGTGGCGGAGCCGCCGCGCTCTGATTGGCCGCAGCGAACGCATTTATTGCCTGACAAGCCCCCATCACATGGATGGTTGTCTATTAACTTGTTCAAAAAAGTATCAGGAGTTGTCAAGGCAGAGAGAGAGAGTGTGTGTGTTTGCAAAAGGGGGTAAAGTAGTTTGCTGGCTCTTTAAGACCGAGGTGGAGAGAGAGAGAGAGAGAGAGAGAGAGAGAGAGAGAGCGGCAGGCAGAGAAAAGGGAAAAAGGAGGAAGAAGTTTTTTAAAATCAAGACTCCGGCGGTAATAATAGCAGTTATTAGCATTATTAATCCATCAGCGAAGAAGAAGATCCTGATCTTGATCCAAGTGTGGTTTTGGGGAGTCCCCCTCCCCCCTTTCCTACCCCTCCCTAGGAAAAAAAAAAAAAAGTCCGGCTTGGGACTCCGCTGCGGCTGCTCCTCGTTTCTCTGCTCAAGGCTGGTTCCAGCAAAAGTAGTTTGAATGTACAACATGATGGAAACCGAGCTGAAGCCTCCCGCCCCCCAGCAAACTTCGGGGGGAGGCACAGGCAACTCCAACTCGGCCGCCAACAACCAGAAGAACAGCCCGGACCGGGTCAAGCGCCCGATGAACGCGTTCATGGTGTGGTCCCGCGGGCAGCGGCGGAAAATGGCCCAGGAGAACCCGAAGATGCACAACTCCGAGATCAGCAAGCGGCTCGGGGCGGAGTGGAAACTTTTATCCGAGGCGGAGAAGAGACCCTTCATTGACGAAGCCAAGCGGCTCAGAGCTCTGCACATGAAGGAGCACCCGGATTATAAATACCGACCCCGGAGGAAAACCAAGACCCTCATGAAGAAGGATAAGTACACGTTGCCGGGGGGCTTACTGGCACCGGGCACCAATACCATGACGACTGGGGTAGGGGTTGGGGCCACCTTGGGAGCTGGGGTGAACCAGAGGATGGACAGTTACGCGCACATGAACGGCTGGACCAACGGAGGCTATGGGATGATGCAAGAGCAGCTCGGCTACCCGCAGCACCCGGGCTTGAACGCGCACAACGCGGCGCAGATGCAGCCCATGCACCGCTACGACGTGAGCGCCCTGCAGTACAACTCCATGACCAGCTCGCAGACTTACATGAACGGATCGCCCACCTACAGCATGTCCTACTCCCAGCAAGGGACCCCGGGCATGGCCCTGGGCTCCATGGGCTCGGTGGTCAAGACGGAATCCAGCTCCAGTCCCCCCGTAGTCACTTCCTCGTCTCATTCGAGGGCTCCTTGCCAAGCTGGGGACCTTCGGGACATGATCAGCATGTATCTACCAGGTGCTGAAGTACCAGAACCAGCTGCCCCAAGCAGACTTCATATGTCCCAACACTACCAGAGTGCACCTGTTCCTGGCACAGCCATTAATGGCACACTCCCTCTATCACATATGTAAGACAAAGGGGCCGGGGGGGTGGGAGGGGAGGGAAAGGAAAACTAAACAAAACAAACAACAAAAAAACTTTTATTAGAAATTCTGGACTTTTTTTTTTTTTTTGGACTATTTTTGTACAGAGAAAACTCCAGAAGGGGGGTGGGGGTGGGGTTTGGGGGGGGGGGGTGGGTGTCAGAAATTAAACCGACAAGGAACTTGTATAGATCTCGGAGGGGAAGCAACTACACAAAACTTTTAAAAAGTTCTAGTTAAAACGGTAGGAACTTTGCAGAAAGTTTGCAAAAGTCTTTACCAATAATATTTAGAGCTAGACTCAAAGAGCGAAGAGGAAGATGTTTTAATATTTGCAGGCAACTTTTGTACAGTATTTATCAAAAGACACATGGCAATCAGAATGTCCATTGGTAATATAGAGAGAAGAAAAAAAAAAAACAAGCTCGCGAATTTGCCAATTATTTTTAAAAAATAGAGTCTTCTTGGACCATTGTGGTTGTGGCAGCTGAATTTACAGCAGCTGCGAGAGGAGAGGAAATTATTTTACGGCATTTGGACATTTAAATTGTTTTAGAAATTGTACAAAAGATAAAAAAATGTAGGATGAGTACTTGCGAACCATGGGCTTGGTTTGCTGGATAAGGGCAAACGTTTAGATTGTACTAAATTTTTTTTAATTTTTTTTTTTTTTTACTTCTTGTTAAAAAGTAAAAATTGCCATGCAGGTTCACACGCCGTTTGTTAATTTATAATAACTTTTTGTTTCCAGACTTCATTCTGTTCAAAGAAAAGGAAAAAAAAAAAAAAAAAAAAAGGAAAATTACCAACCTGAAATTACTGTGTTTGAAATATTTTCTTATGGTTTGTAATATTTCTGTAAATTTATTGTGATGATATTTTAAGTTCTTTTTTTTTTTTTTTTTCTCCTCATTTTCCGTAGTTGTATTTTAAAGATTCGGCTCTGTATTATTTGAAATCAGTCTGCCGACAGTCCATGTATATATTTGAACTAATACCATCCTTATAACAGGTACATATTCAAGTTAAGTTTTTACTCCATTATGCACAGTTTGAGATAAATAAATTTTTGACATATGGACACTGAAGTTCCGCTTGAGTCTTGGATTTATTTTTGTAACGCAAGATGTTTTTTAAATAATTCATGCAGTAGAAGGTATCACCGTAGCCAACCGAATACGATAAATAATGCAGTAATATATAGCTATATATATATAAAACGCATGAATATTTTTATAGGTATGCATATATAGAGAGAAAGTACGATAGCTTTAATGGAGTTAGTGCCTGTGCCTCCCTCGGGGGGACGGGAACGCGGAGCGGGGCTGTTTCCCGGCTCCCTCCCGTCCCTCCCGGGGTCGCGGGGTGCGCCGGGCTCGGGGGGCTCTGTCGCCGCTGCCTTTGGCCACTTGTTGCCCCCGGAGGGGCCGAGCTGGGGCTGGCGGGGCCGGCGGAGCGGCGAGCGGGCCGCGGGCACTGCCGCGGCCTCCCGGCTGCCACAGGCGGGTAATGCCCTTCTCTCTTTTCTCTCTGTTCCCTTTCCCGACCGTGCCTCCTTCCGCCGGGCAGGCAGGAGGGGAGCCGGCTCCCCGCGGCCGGGAACCCGAGCGCGCCCGGCCCGGCCGCTCCTTTGTCCGCCTCTTCCCAAACTTTCCTCTCCTGCCTCCTGGGCCGCGCAGGAGGAGGTGAGAGGTGGGGCGGGCGTAGGGTTGGCCGGGCAGAGGTAAGAAACAAAAAAAAACCCGAACAAACAAACAAAAACAGTCGAATGCCAGAGACTTTCACGGTTTATCACAGCTTTTTCTTGAATCCTATTTCTTAAATTGCCAGCGCGGTGTAGCCCCGTTTCGGACACTCTCTGCAGCCGGTCACAGCCCCAAAGAGAAGCGGTGGCGCCCGCCATGTAGAAGGAGAGATCCGCCGTCCGTGCCAGGTAGAGTTTTACTTTGTACGGTCGTACCCGCAGTTGCCGAGGACGCGGCTCCGCTCCGCGCTGGCGGCCCTGGCCGGAGCCAGGCCCGGGCAGGGCAGGGCAGGGGGCGATGGGCAGCGCAGCTCGGCATCCCTGCGGTATTTGCTGCTGCTAACGCGGCTGCCCTTCGGGGAAACGCGCGAGAGGCAGATGTAAATAATAATAATAATAATAATAATAATAATAATAATAATAATAATAATAATAATAATAATAAAGAAAAATGTACGGATTTTGGGATTTGAAGCACTGTGATTGGAAACTGGTCGTCTGTTCTGCTAATGGCATGTGGTACGTGGCAAGGGAAGCATGTGATGTTTGGCCTAGGCAAGGCACAGAGTGGGCACTCCGGCACGGGGCAAGCGTTGCTGAGCTTTTCTCTCCAGTATTTCTTGTCAACCACTGGATTTCGCTTTAGGTCGGGGGTGGGAAGAAAGCTGGGTAAAATGCACACACGCGATCACACACACACACACAATACACACACACAATACACACACACACACAATTACCTGGCTGGTTGTGGCTTTTATTTGGTATTGCTATTTCCTAGGCTCAGTTCTGGCCTCCATCCTTGAAGCCTGGTGTCCAGATGAAAAGTAACATTGCCAGACTGGGAGACGTGGTGATGTGCTCCCTGCCTGGTTTTGTAGTTTAGCTTCCTTTGTCCCTTTTATTTCTACATCGTCGCGGTGCTTGGGCCGGACAATAATTTTTGCAGATTCTCAACCTTTTCTGTGTCTTTTACGCTAATGCAACGAGTAAAACATTCTTTTTCAGAGCTGTGAGCGTTTGCAATGCATTTGGGGATTATTCACGTGGTAACGAGCCCACATCCCCGCTCCCGCTTGCCTCGCTGAGAAAAGAGAACCAGGAATAAAAGCCCAATCGATATCACGATTCCATTTTTAAAAGCGAATCTTAGCCAATTAACAGCAATAAAACCTGGCCCCTTTTTGAAGTGCTAACTAAAATATTCGAGGGGGGTATTTGGAAATGTTGGTCCTTTTACAATTCGCATAGAGAAGGCGAGCTAATACCCCTAAACAAAAGGCACTAAGCCACATATTCAGGCTTAGTGAATTCAGCAACTTTTTATAAGGGCAATTTGTTTAAGCTTAGATTTCGGAGTACGATTTGAAATATATGTGGTTGAAACCTGATATCACTTGGACAGATTCCTTACATCCATCCATCCATCCATCCATCCATCCATCCATCCATCCATCCATCCATCCATCCACCCATCCATTTATCCGTTTAGGGAGGATAACCCAAAGCGTTTTACATGTACAGCTGAACAGTTTTATTTTTAAAGTGCTACTTGGAGGAACGCCATTGTCCACTGCTCATTTTAAATTCAACACATTCAATAACGCCATTTACACCTAAGCCATTATCCTGGGCTTTCGTTTATGGCAGCTGAAATGTGTAGCAGAGCTCGTGGGTATGTTTTTATTTTGGTTATTGAAGACCTTTGGGGCTCTCCGTGGTTTCTCTCTCGTGAATTGTTGTGTATTTTATAGCCAGAGTGATGCTCGGCCCAAGAGTGCCAGTGTAATGTTTCCCTAACCTTCTACAGAGCCGAAGTGAACCCAAGGATAAGATTATAGTTTCCCCTGTGATTTTTTTACGGCTTTTTAAGTACTGGGGTGTTAAAATATTTTGCGGAACTGGAGAGGTAGATTAGCAGGGTTTCTTGCCAAAGCTGGGAAGCTGGTATTACAGACTGTCCCAGGGGGAAATCGCTCACATTAACCACTAAATGAATATTTGACAAGGGCTCATTCGGGGGTATTATTACTACAAACGGGTCCCTACTGGACTTTCCAAGGGTCAAAGAGCAATGGTTCAATTAATTATTTAGACTGTTAGTAGATTTGGTTGTAATAGCTGTAGTTATTTCTGCAAGCGACAGCTTCTTGCGGTGGGGGATCTGGGGAGAGGCTCTGCCTCGCAGCACCGGCTCCAGCCCGTGGCTCTCTGTTGCCGACAGACATTTCTTAGCCGAAACCACGTTTTGATTCCTTGAGATGCCCACTGGTGCCGGGTGGGACATCAGGGGTGACAGTGATCCTCACAGCAGAGTGTTTTCTCTCGATATTCATTCCTCCTCTTCCCCAACGGGCAGCAGAGCTGGATATCTGCCTCCGAATAGGAGGTAGATAGCCCAGCAATTTAAGTAGTATATAATGTAAGTCCCACTGAAAGAAAGAGGCCCATTACTGATAGGTGTGATTAGATACACTTCAGTCATTTAAATCCTGATCTAACTCAAATACTAAAATGTAAAACCTGCTTCGGTGGTTGTGAGATTTCCGAGGATATATGCAAAATGCTGACATTCTGATGGCAGAAGAGTTTCGTCTTTGCTTTTTTAAACGCCAGTCAGCCTCGCCTGCCACTGTCGTTTCAACATTTTTCTTGGTGAGGAGGGGAAAGAGAAGGGAGGATTATTTTGTTTAATTTCTACAACAAACACGTCCGTAGTAGTAGATACCAAAAAAAAAAAAAAAAAAAAAAAAAAAAAAGGCAAAAAACCCCAAAATAACGTTGGGAGTGTGCGATTAGGTGACAATAATGTATGTTGAATGAATAAGAGATAAGCTGCAAGGGGGGAGAGGGAAGCAGTAATTACAAACCCAATTCATTCAGCTTTTCAGGACTTTTGTTGTGGGAGCTCCATTGACGGGCTTCGAGCTGCCAGTTTTCTCACATTAAAAAGAACTGATCAGCGCCTCAGGGGGACAAGCAACACCGCTTAACTGCATAGTGATGGGGTCCTCATTTAGAGCCATTACAACAAGAAAATTAAACAGAGCCTTTGTGTGCACCAGGTTTACTTTTCAATTGCTGACAGTTTATAGCTAACTGCTCAGAGATTTAAGTTTGATTGCGGTTTGATCGCCTGCTAGTTAGCACCGCCGCTATTTTAGTTTTGGTAATTAAAACCAGTTTTTCTGACGATGGCACGGGGAATTGCGAGAGTTTGGTACAATTTTGCTTTTGAGGAATCAATTCACTTGGCGAGGACGTACAGCGCTACAGTGAGTGTGGGGGCTGGTTCGCTTGGAAAGGAAAGGAGCCCGGGGTGGAAATTCCCGGAGCTGCGTTTGGCCACACCGGAGCGGAGGGCGAGCTCCGTCCTGCGGGCCGGCCCTGCCCGGGCCCCGCCGCCGCTCCGGGCTCCGGCAGCTGCGGGCTGGAGGAGCGGCCAGGAGGAACAAAGCGAAACCCCGAAGCTCTCAGGATGGTTTTGGAGCTTTGCTTTGGAGTTCGCTGAGGGTTTGCTGCGGCTGAGCCGTGCGTGAGAGTGCGTGTGTGAGTGTGCCTGTGTGTGACCGTGTGTGACCGTGTGTGACTGTGTGTGACCGTGTGTGACCGTGTGTGACTGTGTGTGCGTGTTTTTGTATCCGTGTGCGCCTGTGCGTACAGGGGGAGGGGGCGCGCCGAAACAAGCTGCAATTTCCCATTACAATTTAGCAATGCTGGAGGGGAGCGCGGACGGCCCTTCCCGGGCAGTGTGGTGCGGGTTGGGGCCCGGCTGTCCCGCAGGAGAAGCTGCAGCCCTGCCGGCAGGAGCGGGGGAATCCCGTGGGCGGGGGGTCCTCGCTGCGAGCGCCCGCGGGGAACGGAGCGGGGCCGGGCCGGAGAAGTTTCTGCAGGAGTTTGGCTCATCCGCTGGCGCAGCGTGCTGCCTCGCAGCACCTCTGCCATGTGGGCGAGAGCTTGTACAGAGTGGCTTTATCTTTTGAGACTTTTTTTGTTTTGGTGGTTATTTTTTTTAATTTGTCCCTTTTATATTTAATTCTTTTAGGATTTCTCTGTGTTTTGTTTGTGTTTTGCTCCCGTCCCTACCCGTTCCCCCGACTCCCTGATGAAAGCGCCTCTCCCTCCCTCCTTCCCTCCGAATGTGTTTCAGACTCAAATCACCGAGCGGTTATTCCAAGGCAGTTGCCTTCTCCAGAGGGGCGAGGTGGCAGCTCGGGAGGGTCCCCGAGGGGCACCCTGCGGCACAGGGAATTGTCAGGCCGCTTCCGCGGGGCCCGGCCGAGCTGCATGGGGCCAAAGCGGCGATGCCGCCGGTTCCTACAAGCTCTCGGGGCCGGGGGAGAGCGCTCAGCCCCGGGGCACGGAGCTGGGCTGTGTCCTGGCGTCTCCCCACGGCACGTCCCCACGTCCCGAGCCCCGCGGCGGGCGCAGCGCTGCTCCGGGCCCGGGCCGGGATGCGCCCCCGCTCCCGCACGGAGCCGCTGCCCCGGGGAACGGGGTGGAGGCCCGGCCTCCCGCGGGCCCCCCCGCCCCGGGTCCTCGGTGACCCCATCATCTCCGCAGCAGTTAGGGCTGATGACGTAATGTGGGCCTTTTTTTTTTTTTTTTTTTCCCCAGAAAATCGTGATTAACGGCAGGGGATGGGGAGGGGCAGAGGGGGGAATCCCACCGGGTGCTGGAAAGACACGGGTCTCTGCAGAGGCTTTCCCGCGGGAAGGCTCCGCAGGGGTGTGTTGGCACACCAGCTCACACTCACTCACACACTCACAACTCACACGCGTTCCAGGCTGAGAGCTTGATCCTGCAAACCCGCCTCCCATCCTGCGGGAAGCTCCCAGCGCTGGGGCGGCCGGTCCAGGCGAGCCGACCTTACTCGGGCGAGTCGGGACGCCCAGGCCCGGAGGCGGCTCGGTCAGAACCGAGTCCCGCAGCGCTCCGCAGGGCGGCCGGGCCGGGCTCCGGGAGCGGGGCTGGGGCTCATCCCCAGCTGCCCCCGCCTGCCGGGCTCCGGGAGCGGGGCTGGGGCTCATCCCCAGCTGCCCCCGCCTGCCGGGCTCCGCTGCCACGGGAGAAACTCTCCAACGTGTCCTTCTGGCATCGCTGGGAATGATGGTTCCTTTAAGCTCTTACAAATTGCAGAAGTTGAGGAAGACAGAGAAATAATTAATGTATTAAAACAAGCAGCGAATTCCTCAGGAGGCACCTTATCAACTCCAGCCACACTGGCTTCATCCCTCCTCGTATGCTAATACCCCGTGACGTCATTGGCGCCAGATTGAATGTGAATCAGTTATGAAATTATTAGTTTTAGCTTAAAAAGCAATCTGGCTCTCCCGTGAGTGGGCTTTGCCTTGCTGCGGGTTCTCGCTCCGTGTCCTCCCCATGTTATGCACACACAGTAGCTGCGACTTTCCTGTCGCAATGAATCAATATTTCCAAAGCACACATCCTAACAGGGGGTGATGTAAAGAAACCCATAGATTAACTGGGTCCCGTTTCTGAGTCGGCTGTGTCTTCCTTATCGATACACACTTTACACCCGAAACCAGACAGTCGGATTTCCTCCTACTTTTCAGGTAGGCAAGAGCTCCTTGTGATTTATTTCTGTTAAGATCCCACAGAGGGGGTGTTATTCTTTGCCAGCGTCTGCAAAAAAAAAAAAAAATACCCAGGAGTTTGCTTTTGCTTTTGATTGTGATGGAGGAAAATGGGCCAGAAAAAGGGGAAATGCAGAAATTGTTTGTTTGTTTGGTTGTTTGTTTCAAATAGAAATATTTTTATCTAGCACTTTCAAAAGGAGAGCATCCCAGCTGTGGAGGGCCAAGGGATCTGAGCGGGGAACAATGGGAATTAACACCATTTCAATCGCTGAGGCCACTCTAATTAGATGTCTGGGTCCGGCGAGATCAAATACCTGAATCTAAACCCCTCGGCTCGGTTTCTTTCGCTTGCAAATGCTTCTGAAAAACGGTTCTTCGAGAAACCAAGCTACCCCCAAATTCCCCGGAGTCCCTTTCGAGAAGTTTGGCCGATAACAACTTTCTCCATGGGTTGGGGGGGCCGGCGCGTCCCTTCCCCGCAGTGGCCGCCGGTCCCGCCGGTGACACCCCCGCACCCCCCGAGCTGCTGCAGGACACTTGGGGCTCTGCTCCCATGAATTCTGAATAAACTCTCCTGGGGAGCCCCGGCATGGGCCCATCTCCGCTCCCGGGGCTGCGGAGTCCCGCTGTGGAACTGCCCCGGCCGTGGCAGGGGAGCGGCTCCGGCCCCGGCTCCGCTTCCAGCAGCCCCCTAAGCCGGGAAGGAAAGAAGAAAAAGGAAAGAAGGAAAGAAGGAAGGAAGGAAAGAGAAAGAAAGAGAGAGAAAAAGAAAAAGAAAGAAAGAAAGAAAGAAAGAAAGAAAGAAAGAAAGAAAGAAAGAAAGAAAGAAAGAAAGAAAGAAAGAAAGAAAGAAAGAAAGAAAGAAAGAAAGAAAGAAAGAAAGAAAGAAAGAAAGAAAGAAAGAAAGAAAGAAAGAAAAAGAAAGAAAGAAAGAAAGAAAAGTTGTAACTGGCTGAGAAGTGAGTTTTCTGACTAATGAAATCCAAAATGAGCGGCGAATATAAAGTATTGTAAGATTTCTTCCCTGCACCCCAGGCACTGATTGGCAATACTTTTTTTTTTTTTTTTTTTTTTTTTTTTTTTTTTGTGCGTTGGTTTGAAAAGCAGGAAGAAATGTAATGAATTGAGTGCTGTCAGAGATGTCTTCTCTGTTGATGTGGTGAATGGCAGTAGCTCCCTGATCCAGTGCAGGTGCAGTAGAGCTGGGGAATAAAAGAGGGGGGCTCTCTGTTCAGTGGAAAAAGCACATTCCCTACAATAGACCACACACTGCCAGCCAGCACGGCATCAGCTCACACTCTCAGACTTTTTTTCGCCTCTTTCTACAGTCCTGAGCTCACAAAATGGCTATACATTAGCACTAGTTAGGGTTTGCTTTTAATGAACAGTTGTGACTCCTTTTGACGAACATTTAAATCTGCTGTGCTCTCTCTGAAGACAGGTCTGTTTTGATCACAGGTTTTAAAAAATGGCCCGTTTCCTAACAAGGCGGCTTATTCAGGGCCATCAGTTGCATTTGATTGCAAAAAAAAAAAGCTCTCGATTAATAAAACGCATTTCCCAAGTGCTTCTAACGGGAAAGTTTTTTGCTGTTTTTTTTTTTTTTTTTAATATATAATTAAGTGTTGTGAGGAGGAGGAGAGACACTGTTTTTAAATGGATGAGATGGTCTAATCCTATACACGAACGCATTTTAATCCTGTTTAGAAGATAACCTGTCTCCTTTTTGGCTTAATATATTATCCTTATACATGGATACAAACTTTGCACTCTTATTAATTCAGTCCAGATTGTTTTATTGGCTTATTTCCATAATATTTTTTTATCTTTTTTTTTTTTTTTTTTTTTTTTTTTTTTTTTTTACCCTCTCGACGATCTGCTCAGAGTAAGCTAGGTTACACTTGGTTACACAAGTTTTATTCGAAATTATTTCCAGGGCGAGGGCTCACTCCTCAGCCAAGAGGACTGATTGATTCTGTCCCTCTCCGCCTCGATTTGATGTGCCTCGTCCTATCGCGGCCAAGCCAATGAGCCGGGATTTTCATGGCATCCCGGAGCAGCCCTTGCTGATTTCTCTTGCACCTAACCTGCAAGAAGTAGATTAAGCTCTTTTGGATATACTTGCTGATGCATTGCGCTGAGGAAAATTGCTCGGCGTTTGCTTATAGAAACTCACGTTACTGTGAATGTTCTTTTTTTCCCCCTAATCGTGGTAACAAATAGCATCAGCTCCTGGAACAGTTTGGCAAAGCCATTCTTGCCTGAGTAGTGCTAAACGGGAGAAGCTGACAGCCACCCGGTTATTACCTGAGCTCGGAGGAGCCCCCACCCCCAGCCGATCACAAATGGTGTTGGCAATAAATGACTTTAAAGCAGCAGTCAGGTGCCGCTCGCAGCACGTTTGCAGGGGGCAGATCCTGTCATCCCGCGCACAAACAATGGTCCTTGCCTGCATAGGAGACAAGAGATCGATGCTGCTGTATCATATCATCACATCACATCGTACCACATCGCATCGATAATCCTGCATGAAAAACGTCTCGTTTACACTTTGTTCGGGACGTTTCCACCGCGCCGGAGCATCACCACCTGACAGCGCCTTATTTAGTGCCAACAAGTTGTAGCTCCCCAGCCCCAGCCTTGGCCCCGCGGCAGCTCCAAAGCGAAGGCAGCAGAGTTTGGCCGGGGGTGGCGGTCCCTGCCCCAGCCCCGCGCCCCGGACAGCCTTTGTGTCCTCCCGCTGCACACACCCATGGCTAATCCTCCTCCTACCGCTTACACCCCGCACCCAAGGGGCAACTCCAGCCTATTTAGATCGCCTTGGTTGGTTGCACAAATTTAAGTGGCAAATGAGTTATAAACCTAATAACTGCTTTAATAAAAATAATTATTTGATTGTGGCAGAGGAAATTTGCTGGAGTGCAGGGATGCGGTTGGGTTTGCGTTTTGGTGGTGGTGAGGTTCCTCTTTGCTTGAAACTCAGACGCCTTTAGGAAAGGTTACTCTGAAGAAAAAAAAAATCCCAAACTCAAAACAAAATGAAAAACAAAGAAAAGCACCCCAAAATCAAAATCCTAAGAGACTTTACATTTTAAAAAATCGTCCTGGTTCTCGGAGAATCGTGGAACATTTCCCGTGATATTCGAAAGAAGAATTAATTTGTAAACAGAAAAATCAGTATGATATTTGGGTGGCTTTGGATTAATTGAGAACAGTCAACACAGAGGACCATTAATCACAAACGCTGGTACCTCTTTCGCTTTTTCCCCCGTTAAGGATGAAGTTTCTGCGCCTCTTTCAAGTGTATTTATGCTTCTGGTTTTACAAGAAAAAGTGAGGATGCAACAAGACCAGTCGCGTTGTCCTCTCTATACTTTTAACGCTAGCATATTGTTTGATTACTAATTCGAGTTAATATGATCTTTATGGCAACATAACAGTGGATAATTGGCCCTTTTTCTGAACAACAATGTAAATCACAATCGCTTTATTATTTAATAACGTCAAACGCTTCGTTGGATTGGCCCCGACAGAGAAGACCTTTTCTTTCTAGGCAGTGTTGTTGAGAAAGAACAATGCAGATCTAATTGTGGAGATTTCAGAAGTTGGCTCCTGTAAATGAACAGCTTAGATATGGAAGTTCCAGCAGATGTCTGCACTTTTCCCTGTGACAAACCTTGTAACCCCCCTTCCTCCCCCTCTGCCCCGTCCTCCCCCCTCCCCGACTTATTGAAGATTTTTTGTTCTCACATCCTAGCAACAACCTAAATCTTCCAGTCGCGAATACACCCCTTTCCCCTCGTTGCTATCCAGCCCTCAGATGGCCGCTTTAAGCGTACACACCGAATTAGCGCTCGGCCCAAGGCGCGCTCGCCCCTCGCTCGCCCCGGGCCCCCCATCAGCTGCGGCCTGGGGGGTGTCGGGCCTGGGGGCAGCCGGGGGGCTCGGAGCTCTCGGCACTGCGCTCCGCCACCTTCTCGCCAGCCCTGTGGGCGCACCGGGATTTGTTTTGCAGCAGTTCAGAGGCGGCCGCGAGTTGCGCTCGCCGTTATGTGCAGGAGACGTGTCGGGGCCCGCAGCGCCGGCGGGTGCGGGACGGGCCCCGGGCGGCGCCCCGCCATGTGCCCCCCTCTGTCCTGGGTGCTCCTGCCTCGGCCCCTCTGCCCGAAGGCTGCCCCTCCAGCCTGGCAGCAGCAGAGAGCCTTTCCCGGCGGCGGGGCCAGCGCTCCCAGGCAGAAGTTGAGCGATTTCTGGCGGAGGGGGGCGCACCCCAGCGCGCATCCGCTCTCCCGGCCCGGCCCGGCACTGCGCGGCTTTTCCCCGGCGCTGGAGGCGCCCTGCCCGCCACGGGCCGCTCGGGGCGGGGGTCCCGCTCCCCTCCTCCCCGCCGCCCCTCCGAGGACAATTCCAGGAGAGGAGCTGACTTGGCAAACTTTAGCGGTGGGCTGTGCCCTCGCCCCATCCCGGCCCCAGCAGTGCGCGCTTTGCTGCCCAGAGAGCCCCGCCACGGGCGTGGGTACGCGGCAGGCCCGTGGGTGCCAGCCCCCCGCGCAGCCCATCGCTGCCGGGGCTGTCAGGAGACAGGTACACCGAACTCGAGATGCTGGCCCTCACGTTAGTGCGCGGGGTTTAATTAGGTGATTTTTGGCAAACCACCTAAATCCTCTTGTGGTGCCCCTTTCTGCTCCCTCCCGGTGCGCTCCCCCAGCTGCCCGCGGCAGGGCACGGCGGGGCGGGTCCCCGGGGCTGCCTCGGGGGTGCCCGGGGCCCCGGCATCCCGCCCGCTCAGCCGGGCCCCCAGCGGGGCACCAGACACCGGGGCACCGCCGCCTCGCACCTGCGACGGGCGCGGGTTTTGTTCTTGTTCGTTTGTGAGGACCCACTCGAGGGAAGTACTCAAAACACAGACCTGATCACTAAAATTACCCGAAAAAGAAATCCAAGTTGATTGTATCGCCCTGTCTGCAGCCGTGGGA